CAAGACAGTAGTGAGACCAGCTATGCTGTATGGGTTAGAGACTGTAGCAGTGAGGAAAAGACAAGAGGCAGAGATGGAGGTAGCAGAGATGAGGATGTTGAGGTTCTCTTTAGGAGTGACCAGGATGGACAGGATTAGGAATGAGCACATCAGAGGGACAGCTCAGGTCGGCTGTTTTGGGGACAAGGTCAGAGAGGCCAGATTGAGATGGTTTGGACATGTGCAGAGGAGGGATAGTGGTTATATTGGTAGAAGGATGTTGGAGATGGAGCTGCCAGGCAAGAGGTCAAGAGGAAGGCCAAAGAGGAGATATATGGATGTGCTAAAAGAGGACATCAAGTTAATTAGGGTAAGAGTAGAGGATGCCGAGGATAGAGTTAGGTGGAAACAGATGATTCGCTGTGGCGACCCCTAACGGGAACAGCCGAAAGAAGAAGAAGAAGATGTGTAAGATGTAGAGTACTCCTGGTATGGCATGTCTGTATATGAGCAAATGTGCCAGGAGATTGCAAACTGAGAGAGGTATCATCACTGTAATCAAAGAGAGGAAATGTATGTGTCTGTGGGAGACAGAGACAGATACTGCACACAGAGAGAAGCTGACTAAAGCGACTGCAGCAGATCAGTCAGATAAACCAGAATCGGTACAAAACAGCTGATGTTCTCCGCAACAGGCAAACACTTCCAGATATGCTTAGATCTGTTCTATTAAACATGCAAACAAACACCTACACAGAGTTAATAGCTATGATACTGCAAGAAAAAATATACTCCTAAAAAGAACTGCTCGATACCCTTTTAAAACATGAAGTGTTTCTATTGTTCTCAGTGGTCCAAAGTTGATTTATAAGCAACTGGTGTCTCTTGAGCATTCCAGTTATTTACATATTTAATGCATGGCTGCAAACCAAATTTCCCTTTGGATAAAAATAAAGTTAAAGTTGCTGCTGCACAAACAAGCAACAGATTTAATTTCACAATATAAATCAAATTATACAGTTTTTAAAGATTTTTTTTAACTGTTATTATATGTTCCAAACCTGTGTAATCAGATTACAGTAAGGTTATGTAAGTGTTCCCTGACATAGGAGTTAAGCCTGGACACAGAGTTCCCACTTCAGAAAGACAAACACCACAGAGTCTCTCCTGGCTGCTGGGCCTGGTGGCTTTTGTTGTTGCTCAATGATTCTAAGAACCAGTTCCCAAGTTACACTCACATCCAGCTGCTCCTGCTTTTTTACAGGGTGGTAATACAACACCGATAAACACAGCACATGAGCTCTGAAAGACTAGTAGATGGGAGATCTTTCGAGGAACGAGGCCCTAGAGAGAATGAGTTGTGTGAGTATATAAAACTCTAGTCCCACCACGTGATACAGTTGATGACCTTATGTATCAATTTCTGCTATCAGTCAGTACTGTACATACACAAACATACTTGCGTTGTGTACAGTGTAAATGTTGAACATGTGACACAAACACACACACTATCAGTACCAGGCAGCCAGAGAGGGAACAAGCAAATGCCTGTGGGGTTTTCTAAGGACAGAGGCATACATCAGGGAGCAACAAATAGCTAAGCAGAGGGGCAGGAAGGGGAGAGGAGGACAGACAGAGAATATGGACATAGGAGGCTAAAGAGGATTTGCACAGTGTTAATCTTTGTGTGTATGTGAATGCATAAAAGTGAGGAAAAGAGAAGAAGTGTGCAGGAGATCACTGTGTCAGGTGCATTTTCTGTGGCTTATATCGCAAAAGCTTACTTTGCATTTAGAGCTCATTTCATGCTTTTCCTTGTTTTCTGACTTATCTACAACGCTGAATTCTCATCTTAGATGTGACCTAAAGCTCAAAAAATGAGGTGCACGTATGTTCTAGTATTTCTATGCAGAAGCAGATGGGTTTATACAAGTCTTGCAAACTTTCGCTCATGAGACTTTTTTTCTAACAATATAAAGTTATTACATGATAGTTTAACACAGTTGCACGTTCATGTGAGATTGCCTGACATCCACAGTGCCATTTTAAAAGCAAAACTTTTCGACTGCTCCCAGTTTTGTGGATATACTTCCCTCCTGCTGCCGCACTGTGACTAGAGGATGTGGAGAAAAATACAGGGCCTGAGATTATCGCATGTCTGGGAATGTACTTGTACAGGGACTGGCTGTTTTACCTGACCAGGTCTAACCTACAGGCAGCCGATCTGTCAAGCCCCCTGGGGCGGTGAATGATCAGCTCATCAACACTGGATTCCCCTGGAGCACAGTACCTGTTTGTTTTGCCTGCTTGAGGCCAGTGCTCATGAGATGTTGCCTAAAAGCACGAAGGTCTGACAAACTAATTTTACATGAAGCTTGGGGAATCACAAGGCTTGTTTATGTGTGCGCTGTTCATAAAAATGAAGTCCATGAGCTGTGCCAGAACATACAGTATATACCTACATAGCTTGACAGAGAGCAGCAGTGATCAGAGAGACACATTAACTTCAGTTAAAGATTAACTTCCTCTAAAGCAGAATTAGGACATGTGGAGGTGATGCCTGTGCCTGAAGCTACCCACAGCCCCCTAGTGGGATCAACCATGTAGCAACTTTGTAAATTGTGGTGTAATACGATGTTTTGTGGGTTTGAGGTTGTGCATAGAGATACAAGTATGAGCTGTTATACATGGTCGTACATACAGTACATACACTGAGAACTGGCTGTACATATGCTGTTGCATAATTTAAAGGTACAGACACACACACACACACACTGTAGGTTCACACTTTGTTCCATATACAAACACTGAGCATGTTATTTGATCACAGCGTTTCTAGACATTGACAAGTTTCCTTGGAAAGCAAATTAAGACCTTCTGACCAGTTAGAAAGTAAGATATTCTGAAATTCTCAGAGCTATTCTTCTCTCCAAATGAAGACATTCCCAACATTTCCCACAAACTGCTTCCACTCTTCTACAGTGCCTTGCGAAAGTATTCGGCCCCCTTGAACTTTCCGACCTTTTGCCACATTTCAGGCTTCAAACATAAAGATATAAAACTGTAATTTTTTGTGAAGAATCAACAACAAGTGGGACACAATCATGAAGTGGAACGAAATTTATTGGATATTTCAAACTTTTTTAACAAATAAAAAACTGAAAAATCAAATAACATGCTCAGTGTTTGTATATGGAACAAAGTGTGAACCTACAGTGTGTGTGTGTGTGTGTCTGTACCTTTAAATTATGCAACAGCATATGTACAGCCAGTTCTCAGTGTATGTATGTACGACCATGTATAACAGCTCATACTTGTATCTCTATGCACAACCTCAAACCCACAAAACATCGTATTACACCACAATTTACAAAGTTGCTACATGGTTGATCCCACTAGGGGGCTGTAGCTTCAGGCACAGGCATCACCTCCACATGTCCTAATTCTGCTTTAGAGGAAGTTAATCTTTAACTGAAGTTAATGTGTCTCTCTGATCACTGCTGCTCTCTGTCAAGCTATGTAGGTATATACTGTATGTTCTGGCAATTACAGTTTTATATCTTTATGTTTGAAGCCTGAAATGTGGCAAAAGGTCGCAAAGTTCAAGGGGGCCGAATACTTTCGCAAGGCACTGTATATATCTGTGTTTTTAGTGTAGTATTTTTCATACTTCACACCTTTCTCACCCTGTATTAAGTGATGAATCAAGGATCACAGGTTCTGATGACCTTAGCCCACTTTCCTTTCCTAAAATTAAGCTGACTGTCTTTGGGCTTTGGTCTCTTGGTTGGATAAAGAAAGATATTTGAAGATGTTGCTTTGGTTTCACAGAAAATGAGACGGACATTTAAAAAAATATATTCAGATATAAACTGATCAATTACAAAAACAATCTATAATAAAAGTCCTAATTATTTGCCGTCCTGACCTACAGTGTACATTTATTATTAGTACATGTTATTCTTTTAGTTTTGTTACCCAAGACCAGCTATCACTGGGGCTGACATCTTTCCTGTGGCTTCCCAGGTCATGCTCTTGCTTTTCCACATGGGTCATGGCTCCATGCTGCACAGTTCACTGCTGTACAGACTCTACGGTGGAGTATTTTGTGAGGAGTCTCAGAACATATCAGGAAATCTAAAGGAATCCTTGTGACTGTCCAAGCAGAAATCTCCTGAAGAAATTGTACAAATCAAGCCTTCGGGAAGAGGGAGGTGGCCAGTCCTCTGAGATGTCTGATGTGTCACAAATCTGTGTACTGGCTGCTGATGCTTTCCTGGTCAGCCTTCTCCAAAATCTGGACTTTCTTTAACGCACTTCCAGGGTATTCCTTGACAGATGCAGAGCGCTCTTTGAACACATCCTTCTGTACTAACTCTGATTAAATCTCTTTACAATGGTACAGATACCATTTTGGGTGGCTGGATGAGTCTGATGAGTTTTAAATCTGTGGGACTGGTGCTGGTGTGATATGTAGTCAGTGTTTTAGGCTAAATTTATCAACAAGTGTGTTCTGGGAATGGAGTACTTGGAGGAAATCTGAGATGGAGTTGCTGGACTGCTTCAGGTGCTCATTTGACGTCACACACACACATACAGTACATTCTGAATTTCTGCCAATCTATTACATATGACTGCAACGTTATAAATTACACGTCAGTGAAGTTTCTCCTAATGTTTTCTTTCAAAATACTTATATTGCATGTCACTTGTGAGCAAACACCTTATATGTTTGTGTTTTTATTGTGCTTAAATTTAACTTTCACAGCCAAACAAATGCTTCAATGTACAGTTATTAGTAATCCACAAGTCCTGAAATCATCTAGCCTCTCAACCACACACCACAGAACCTCCGTGAACCAAGGGAGCATCTGAGAGCAGCAGCACTATCAGTAAGGGGTGGGTTTGCCACTCGACTCCGTCCCTGTGAGATACTTTAGCTCACAGCTGTTTAGACTTTGAAGGCTCAGTCACTCCCATATGCACTGGACAGTCTCCTGGGCAGTGCTGCAGGACACAGCTCAGCGGGGGGGGGGTGCTTCTTTGTGGATTTTAGACTGCTGAAATTTGCTTTATGTTGCATGTGTACATCATATAAAACTACACACACAGTAGTTAACAGTCCAAGTTATGTGAAAAATGACTGAATTGCTGTTTTACCTTGACAGGTGGCAGCCTTTAGGCTGCTAACCTACAAGTCCAAGGTATTTTCCTCATTCTTTATGTGTGTACTGAGAAGATACGAGACACAAAAACACACATGCAAGAAATTTAAAAATGTCTATACATTTACAGTATACAATTAAAGGCATAAAAATGTAAAATGTAAGTACACAGTGGATTTGTAGTACAAACACAATCATAGTCTATGGAGCATAAAAATGTTCTACATCCAAACACAAATGGCTCCACGCTTCTTATCGTTGTACACAGTTCTTTTTTACATAATACAAATCTGACAAAACAGATTTAAAATAAATCATACGTAAAAACATACGCAAAACAAACCTCTACAAAATGATTCTAAATGTTTGTTGCCAAAAATCAGCTACCATTGCACACAAAGACTTTAACAAGCTTTTCATGTTGTGTGCACCTTCAAGGAAGTTTACAGAATATTGGGATACTGCAACAACTTCAAAACTGGCAGCTGCAAACACGTAAGAAACATGGACAACTGCAATTACAGAACTGAGTGATTTTGTTCAAAGTGTAAAAATGAACTTCCATCTTTGCTCAGATCTTTGTCTTTCCATTATCATGTTGATCTAGAAATTGTCTATCTCTATCAAGAAGGGCCAAGTGGGGCTTGACCCCACTTGGCCCCTGGCAGAAGCAGGGCTGGCTGAGCCCGGGTCAGCATGATTACTCCCTGCTACTAGAAACGGAGGGCAACCCACGCCCGTCTGGCTCGGCTCAATTAAAGAGGGCTGATCTGTGCTTTATGGAAAAACTCCATGAGTAGCTATAGTGGTGAGGCTGTTCAATTTATCTAAAAAAATTATCTCTAACTTGTCCTCACAACCACAATTTTCACTCCTTTAACATATTTTTTATCACTGAATGATGAACAAATGTACGCTTTTCCTGACAGTAGCACTATGGAACCAAACAGATTCACACAAGACGTGCTGTGAGCCTCAGTGACATGAGTGCCAACCAACTGGTGCATTGACTCCTCAGTAGTAGGCAGGTGATTTTAATGTTGTGGCTGATCTGTGTATTTGTGTGTGTGTACAGTGATGTGTAATGATCACTGTTTCATATTCCCTTCATACTGTTTCCAATGGGTCTTGCAGGTCTGGGTAACAAACATAGGTTTTGTCTCTTTCTGCATTGTCCACCCAGAACCCATGTTAGTGCAAGCAGTCATTCTAAAAAAAGTGCACTGTGTACATATGTTCCAGTCATATATGTTTTCCGGTCAGGAAAAAAAGTGGTCGGTCCTCTTTGGCGTTGGCAGTCTGGAATTCGTCGCTGAGCCTGAATCTCCACTCCTCCTCCAGCTCCAGCCGGCCCACCGTCTGCCTGAGCGAGCTACGATCTGCACCGATGACACACAGAGTCGCACCTACGGGGAGGCAGACAGAAGGGAGAGGGACAGAGGCTATAACTATGATATGGAAAGCAAAATGACTTTAGGATGCAATTTCCACCATAAACAAATATAATCACAGATCACTGTTAGTGTTTTCTAAAATGAATACATTTGTCCCTTCATGGCTCTCCAGTAAACTCTCTTCTATTTGATTGTCCGTTATCCATAAAAGTGATGTGTCACGTATTACACACATGATTTCATTGTTTGTATGTTGTCCACCCTCGTACCTTTGAGGAAGGTGAACTTCTTGAGGAACCCAGGAGTCACAAAGGAGTCAGCGAAACAGAGGAGAAGGCCACCGAACAGCAGCCCTGTGGTACTGATGTTGACAGAGTGAGGCCTGGAACTCACGAAACACACCGTCACCTGACCAGACAAGAAGAGCATGACTTTGGGTTTATGATATTTGTTTAGAGTTTAATAATCTACCACAAACAAAGATGCTGGGATTCTGTGTCCATCTCCTACTGTATGTCTGTATCAAGGTTCCTCTCTATCCACATGCTTGTGTGTGTGTTTGTGTGTACCTCAGGTCCCAGGTTGAGGTAACAGTCCACAGACAATACGGGGTGCATGTAATTCCTGGTACTGAGCGGAAACAGCTTCTGGCTGGTGTGCTGGAGGTATTTTTCCAGAAGAAGCTGAGCTGGAGTAGCCAAGAAGAGGTGCTTGCTGTCTGGGGCGCAGGCGTACTGCGAGGGCCCCACTGAAGTGGGAACATCTGTCATCTGGAGAAATTTGAAAAGAAAGAAGATACAGTTAACTGATGGCTATAAATGCTTGTTGTGCAAAATTCAGATGAGCGTTTGTCCTTTATAGCTGTTAATTAATAACGAATTTATAATTATTAAGCATCACTTTTAATTATTTTTAATTTCAATTATTCTTTATTCTGCTTTGTAAAAAGCATCATGATGAACAGTTTTGGTTTCATGGTTCTTCAGGATCTACCTTGGTCTTAATAATAAATGCCCTGTATCCTCCGATGGCGACCTGCTTCTTCATGATGCTGAAATTGTTGAACCTGCAGATGAGCAGTCCGGTGCTGTGTAGCCTCAGGGTGAAGTCCACGTCGTGACAGGTGAAGCGGTTTTGGTTGTACTGGATGTTGTGAGTCCGGTCGACGTTGAGGAGAAGGAAGTCGTGAAGATGACCTCTGGAGAAGGGCTCCCTCTGTTTGTTACCTGGTATGAAAAACCAAAGGCCACTACAATGTTAGATTAACCCTAAGGCAAAAATGTTTGCAAAATTCACTTGTCTCTTTAAATGCATGATTTAAAACAGATTACACTGAGTATGTATGTCAGCCTAAGCCTAAGCTACATTACAAAACTGAGCAATGCTGATGGAAAAACTCAGTCACCCTTTAGGCTGTGTGGCTGGTTACCTGAGGCTGCTCACTCACTCGTGGTGGTTAAAAGATCTGAGATACACAGCAGCTTGAAGTCAAACTTTCTACTGCAGTTAACCACTGAAGAGATAATGACATAACAATCTGTATCCGCAGCCGAGATCTGAGGCGTCTTTTACACATACAGCCTTTCAAAACAACTTTATGAACACACATTATAACATTTTATTAATATCTTGTGACATTCAATACAACAGCCTTGTAATACATATGACCTTCATTAATCTTATGAGGTTAGAATTCTTTTTCTGTTACTTTATATGGTATTTACAGTGTCTAAGATTCTACTGAAAAGTTCCTTGGACCTTCTGACACTGTGACCCCTGACCTGCGAGTCCACGGCTGCTCCACTTCCTGATTCCGCACAGGCCAAAGTGGGCCAGGTCTGGACAGGCTTCAATGTGCTGTAAGACCTGCTTCAGTGAGACAGCATGCTCCACTGGGCCACTTCAAACAACAAGAATAGAGCACTTCTATTAACACCAACTCACAAATTGATTCAACATTTCTACACAATGCAAACAATATTTATTTTGTCCTTCATTGTGATTATTAGAAATAAATGTGTATGTATGTGCCTGCATGCGTCGAGGTCCACTGCGTTCCACATAACACAGGTGTCATCGGCCAAGATGATGAAGGGCCAGACGTCACCCGCCAGGCCCCCTCCCTCCAACTGACGACTGCGCTCGAGCTCCAAGTTGTGATATGAAAGTTCTTTAATCAGGAAGTGAGCGGCACCTGCAAACGAACGGTAATGTGCCGTTAAGGTGCTGGGCTATGAAATCAACAGTGTTCAATATCATTAGTGAGATTACTCTGTGTGTCTGTATTAATTTAATGAGCCTAGGGAATTCCTCCATACCTATCACTAGCAGTAGGAACATACCTATTCCAGCTCCATTGAAGACAGTGGGCAGCACCAGCATGATGTGGTTGGGCCAGTACTTTTTATAGACAGCCATCTCATACTCTTTGACCACCAGGATATGTAGATGTGAGGCTCCATCCATAGCGTGATACAGGTTGAACAGACCATGCTCGTGACGACCGGTGGTCGGGGTGAAGATTGGACTCTTGATGCAGTCTGGGCTCTGGGAAAGTGGACAAGCATCTACATGACCTCTTATACGTAAGTGTGACTCATAAAAACATGTTAGATAAAATACAATATCTACATACATTCAGGCATTTCAACACAAACTTGAAAAGGGTGAGGGAAACTAAAACACCATCTCTGCCATGAGTTTGCCTTTGCTTGCAGGCCTTAGTAGCAGGGTCTGGAGACACCCCAGAGGTTTATGAAGATAGAAGACACAGAGAGTGAATGCCAGAGGAGAGACAATATAATATGATCAAAGTTTTCTGGTGTGATCAAAAATGCTCTAATGCTATGCTAAATCATTTCAAACAATATCTTCTCAAACATCAATCTCCGGTGTAAACTGAAGAACCACTGGGCTACAGTAATCCACTTTCCTTTAGGGACGGTTTGAGCCATGGTCTGGCCTGTAGCACCACCTAGTGGAACAACCAGTGTCTCACTGTGGTTAACCCTGCAAATCACCACTTTAAAGCAATGGCACTGAATTGTGTTGTGATTTTTGTGTCTGTAACTAAGAGGGATTAACAGAAACAGACTATGACAGGTTTATTTTCTACTGACATGCTTGTTCTTTTATGTGTTAATTAAACTTCAGCTTATTTTACAGCTGGACTATTTGTCATTCTGTATAACAGCATCAGGAAATGCCTTAAAAACTAAATGCAAATACTCATAGATTCACAGACACCTGACTCACCCAGTCGGAGGTGAGAGGCAGCCGCATGCTCTCCAGCTGGCCTCCTGGTTGGCTGAAGCTGAAGTAGTGCTCTTTCGACTTTGGGATGATGAAGTAGAGCTGGATCTCTTTCCCAAGCAGCAGATGGGTGAATGTGAAGGCATGCAGTGTCGACTCATACCTCTGAATCATGATGTTAGAGGACTGTCATGTTTATATTTCAGTGTGGTGTGTCATTTATCTGACTGTGTGTTTGTAAGCATTCTGCTGACCTGGTATCTGGGGTTGAAGCCCAAGTACTGATGACACTGTTCACAGTGATGATAGGTGTTATAGGCCGCATATTTAGACAGCTTGATCCTAGTTGTCCGCCTGCGTAGGCACACATCCTCCTGACGCACAGGGTTTCCTTGGGAAGACAACAGAGGAAAGGGTAGTTTAGCACTACAGCACAGCATACAGATGATGTGCTGTGAATGTACATGTGTTTGATGTACTGGCTTGTGTGTCAGTGTGCTTTTCTGACTGTGCTTACCCTCAGCACTAGGTTTATATCCAGGGCAATACACAGTGCTGATGTCATCATATTTGGGGTCATGGATGGTGTAGTCAAAGGGCATTGTCCTCATAGTGTCTGGGTTGGGCCACGGAGCACTGGATGGGTGGTACTGCACCCCCTCCGCTTGGACACCTACGTACACCACATATTTACAAGCATATGCATTAAACACATATTTGCAGTACTGTGAGTAATGAAGACTTTAAACTGTTCTGGACACATCCTAACAAAAAGGTTTGCGAAACGATAGGAAATAAAGAAAGAAATTTGATGTCTGTGAAAAAATGGTGACTACTTTTGCAAATATACTGACTGTAGTTGATGTCGTCTTCATCGTAGATATCCACCTCCATCAGCCTGATCAGCATTCGAGACAGAATACCCAGGAAGTGCAAGTAGGCTCCTGTCTTACCCACCTGACCATGGAAACAAGAAAGTGAAAGACGTAATATATATTAAAGTATAACAGGAGCTCAAGACAGAGTTAAAGAAATAAAGATGGAAAATACCTGTGGCGGACCACTGAGCAGCAGCCTGCGAGGGTGAAAGTTGTCGCTCCGTCCTTCTGTGCGATTGCTGCTGTCCATGTGGTAGGAGCGAGGGACCGTCCACTGACGATAGTACAGTGACTGTTCCGTACATGTCATCATCTTACTCAGCAAGGGCCTGTAGACAAAAGACATTGATCATAATTACGACTGTGTTTCATTCACATGTGCTTTATATGTTCTGGTCAGCGTTTGATTCTTCTGCTATTATGTTTATTAAACCCTAAATATTAGTTGTCTATTATGATTACTGATCACAGAGCAACTATAACTTTTCTTCTTTAATAAATAAAACATCCACAATGGTTTAAAAAGTGAAATGAACCCTTTAAAACCTCAATCCTTTTTGAGGATGTCTGCTGAACTAAAAGAAGGTCCCACAGGTGGAAAAGTGGCTTTTATAGCTAAAAATTTCACATGATATGTATTGGTATATAAAAAAGAAGTGTTTCTTTTACCTGAAGCTGCTTGCCCATACGACAGACATGTGAGGCAGGAATGAGGTACATCGAGGGAGGCCACTGCTGTCACTGGCTGTGACAATGTTGTACAGCGTGCGAGGGAGGAGCACAGAAGGCGGGCGACTCCCTCCCCGCGCCCAGGAACAGCTCACATAAGGAGAGGAGGCTCGGGGGGACAAGGAGCCAGATGAGGTGGATTTGGAGTGTTGGCGATGAGAGCGGGCAAGGGGAAGTGGTTGAGGGTGGGGTATATGCATCTGGGAGAAGGACTGGTGCTGGGGGAGCATCTGAGCATGAGGATGAGAGTTTGTCTGTGGTAACAGCTGATTTTGAAGCTGTGGCTGCAGCTGGGAGATGGGTTGGGCCTGGGAATGGCGCTGAACTTGAGGTTGGGTTTGCTGGTGTGGTGTAGGCTGAGGATATGGAAAAGACTGGGATGGGGGCTGGGGCAGAAGTTGAGGCTGTAAAGGTGAGGGAGACTGCTTGGTGTCCACAGTCCCTCTCTGGTCATTTGGAGAGGTGGAGCTTTGGGTAGGCACCACTGTCTGGGCAGGACGGAGGTTGCTGACTGGATGACAGAGGGGAGTCCCCTGGAAATGAAAGGAGGAAATGACCATATCACTTTAAACATCTCCCTTCAAACAGTGACTGAACATTTCACACAGTTTAAAATCTCAAAGAACAGTTTGTGAGCATTTCATCTCACCATTCCCCTGTGCCTCCTCCTCCTCATTGTCAGTGCTGCTGAGTTTTTCTGCATCGCTTTCCAGCAGGTCACTTCCTGATCCGAGGTTATGTTGGGGTCGCGCCTCTGCCCTCACTAAATAGGCAGCCAGTCCCAGCTCTTGTTCGAGTGTGGTTCGTTGAAGGTAGGAGCAGCTGATCACCCGAAGATCGCAGTACTTCAATGACCTGTGGGTAGAATGAATTCACTGTTTAAGCTCCAGAGGACATGTATTACAGCTTCTGTGGCATTCTTGCAAGAAGCTATGGAGTCAGACTTGTTTTATTGAGCAGTGGAAGCTTGAAAATTCTACATGGAGAACTTGGTGTGGGGACCTGGGCAGTGATTCTCCCAGGGGCTCAGCTCCAGACAGGATGAGGATGCAAGGAAGGGCCTCCAGCTCCAGGTAGGTACGAGGAACCCAGTCATCATCCTGGATCTTCAGCCATGTCTGCACACACACATAAACACAAGTGCAAAAAACACAGACTTGTCACAGTGAGTCTGCGTCTTTCATTTCTCTAGTTTGAGCTCATCTCTCCAAAAAACAATTTCTTCATACTACTCTTGTACCTTGATCTGATCTGTGAAGGTCTGTCCAATACTCAGAGCTTGGTTGGGATTACCCAGTATGATTTCAAATCTCTCCTCCAGACCCAGCTGCCTCCTCACTCTGGACAGCCGTCGATGGGCCCATGCAGCCAGAGCCAGAGAGGGGATCCGCAGCAGGACCATGTGACCATGATGGGCAGGACACTGCTGGGCAGCGGTGAGCAGTGACTGCACAATCTCCACAGTCTCCACAGAGGTGTGCTTGTGGAGATTGTAGGAGCCTCCGATTCTGCCAGAGGCAGCCATCAGAGCTACGCAGTAATGCTGGATCAGCACTGTAGTCCGGATCACAGCGCTATGCAACTTAGCAAACCTGGAGGAGAGGGAGAGATTTTAAAGAGCTTCGTGGTGTATGTTTGTGTAAACCTGCAAATAATTGTTTGTGTAGATTAAGCATGTGTGACTGTATGCTACCTTTCTTCCAGGGCAGATGCCATGGTTTCAAAAGAGGAATCATAACGCATCAAAGGCAGGGTGCTCCCTGAACGTGTCGACTCTAAAAGCTCTGACACACCAAAGTACCGTGTCTTCTCATGATACAGGTCCACATCCTACACACACAAACACACAGTGTTATGGATACACACACATTCAAGTGATTTAAGTGGAAATGCCAGATATGGGGCATTCTCTATGCCAGTTTACACTAAACACAGTGTGTATCACGTACAAAGCTGAATCTTACATTACTAAATGCAGAGGGCCAGTGGATCTCATTGTAGGGGCTGATGCGGGTGTATTGTGTCTGAAGAGCAAAGGGGAAGGAGGTAACATGGAGAATTAGGATGTTTGGAGCATCTCTGACTTGTTGGGAGTTTAACAGCTGGTCCACCAACCCACTGTCTGAGCTGCTGTAGGGTGCACTGAAACAAAGAGAGACAGAAAATGACTAAACACATGATTGCTTTGCCGTTTCTTTTACATGTATCAACTCATTAAAACCACTCTAATTCCTTTTCAGCTGCTAGAAGGTCTGGTGAGAATCAAAACAAACCAACACCATATACCGCTCCTAACCACTCTTTGCCCCTTCCGTCGTGTCTTGTTTCCTGGTGAAGATGTAAACTACAGATGCCTGGTTGTGACAAACTGTACAAAATACAGCCTCCAGTGTAAAGTTAGCCTTAGCTGTGTCAATCCAGTAGAACATTCTGGTTACTGCTAATGTGACACAAAGCTCAAATTACCCCCAAATTAAAATTATATTAATTCAATATAATTCAAACCATGTTAGCTTTAGATGCTAACACATCCAGAATGAAGAGCATCTGAATCCAGTCTGAGTCCTCTGGCTGCTTTTAACCCTCTACATGTCAAACTGTCAAACCCATGTTAACCCTGGTTGTTGCTCTTTCTTTGTCCCACTCTCTCTGTGGAAAAGATGCCACCTCTTCGCTCTGGCAGCTGCTGGTTCAGACTTTTAGCTTCCCAGAGCTCCTCCATGGCTGTTTGACATGACTACTGGCTGAAAACCCCTTCTTCTAACTTTGGCTAGGCGGCAGGTGGGGCTGATTTACACACCGTACTTTGACAACACAGGGTTTGAGAAGCTGGAATAACAACAATAGTGCTGTAGGCAGCAGAGGGTCATGGAGGGGGGGTGTAGCTGAGAGACACACATCCTGTCCCACTGTCACTGGGTTTATCAGATAATGTGGAGAATCTGATTTAATGCACATTTAAAACATGAACCCTTTAATCATCTTTTCTCTCCCCCTTACACACCAAACACACACCTGCTAATGTCCCAGTGGGCGTGATCATGGACCAGGATGTAGAGAATGCAGGAGTTGCGCTGAGCTTCCTGGATGATGATGTCAATTCGTGCCTGAGCACTCTGGTCCATCTTGACCACATAATGCTCTGCCACCCGTTGAGAACTACATTCCTGGTCTAAACTCCCAAGCTCCTGAAGGACACCTGTGATGCACAGACAAAGAGAAAGAAAGAGGTTCAGGCCAACATCACGCACATTCAAACAATTCCCCGTGTGTCTCTTTTTGAAAGACAAGAGCAATTCTGATGGCAAAAAAAGATCTACAGTATGTGACTAACCAGAGCTCTTTAGGTGGAGAACAGTCTGTTGAAAGGTGACATCAGATGGTGGGACCAGAATGAGGAAGCTGACCCTGTCAAAGGAGCCAAGGTCCAGGTTCTGTGTGCTGGAGTCGGCTATAGCACAAACATGGGATAGCAGCTTTCTAGCCACTGCCAGCTGGATGGGACGCAAATCACACCACTCTACAGAGAATTCTACACACATACAATCAGAAATTCATATCATACTCAATGAAAGATTTTCTTATAACACTGCATGTATGTACATTTGCTGGACAAATAGGAATGGAATTATTAGTGAATAAAATCTTATTCTATTGCTCAGCAGTAAATCAGACTGATCCCATGGAGTTGTACCAGCAAGTAACGGAGAGCCAGAGTGAAGAAAAACAAATAAAATTAAAGCAAATGAGGGTTAAAAGCTTAAGCGATGTGACATTAGGTAGAAATGTGAAGTTCAAAACTCTAAAAAAGTATAAATTACAGCTGTGGCAAAACCTGCTTTAAACTGTGAACAACATTTGCCTGAACTGTTAATCATCTTGTACAATAACTATTTCAAATTTCAAATTCATTTTGACACTGATGCAAGGCAAGCATGTGAAGAACAGTATCTACTTCAACCAGCATGTATCTTACCTGAGCAGGTGTCTCTGGGGCTTGAAGCGCCCTCTTTCAGACTGGGTGAGTCTTTTGAACATTGTGTGTTTGAATCCTTTGGACTGTGTGTGTTTTTGAGGCCTGTGTCTTCAGTTGATTCCTGACTGCTGGTTAAGGGAGACGGCTCGTTGCTGTCCACGGTGGCACTATCAAGGAGGGAATCCATATCACCATCTGAGAGACAAATTCACACAACATCTTGGTGAATTATGACTGAAACACACATTAATGCTCCTGTACTGCACAAACAAATGTGCAGGTAAACCAAAAGGCAGACAATCGGGCTCACCCGGTCCGAGGGAATTGCAGTAGTGGATGAGTTCCTGGGCAGCACCAGAGGAGAGCTGGTGGTGGATTTCTTTCAGACCCTCACTGGGAGAGAACATGCTCTCTGCCAAGGCACGGCACTGGTGTTTGCCTGCAACCCATACAAATATACACTGCATTGAAAATTCTCTTTATTCCTTAAGTTTAAATTGTCAGGAGTGCACAACTTACACATGCATATAAAATCACACCTCCCACCTGTGACAACCACACAGGACTGTGTTTCCTGTCCCAGTGAGGTGACAATAATGACCACATAGTTGGTGTTTTCAAGCCGTCCTTCCATTAACCTGCT